TAAAGAAAAGGATCAAATGACCTATCTAGAGGACAGCAAAGTCAAGGACACCCAATCAGAATGACAAGAAAAAAGATGCCAAGACTATAAAAATAATTTAAAGAGCATATGGGACACTATTAAGGTTCAAATATCCATCTGATAGGCATACCTGAAGAAAATCAAGGTATTGAACAGCTGTTTGAAGAAATAATAATGGAAAACTTCCCTAACCTGGTGAAAGAAATGGACATAAAACCTCAAGAAGCTCAGAGAATCCTAAAAATCAGGGATCTACACCTAGACATAACGTAATTAAAATGCCAAAGGTTAAATACAAAGAGAGAATATTAAAAGCAGCACGAGAGAACAGATAGTTAACTACAAAGGAACACCCATAAGATTGGCAACTGATTTCACAAAAGAAACTATGCAGGACAGAAGGGTTTGGCAAAAAATATTTGACAGGATAAAGACCCAGGATCTATAACCAAGAATAATTTATCCAGCAAAGCTATCATTTAGAGTTGAAGGATAGATAAAGAGCTTCCCAGACAAAAATAAGCTAAAGGAATTTATCACCACCAAGCTAGTATTACAGGAAATGTTGGAGGGTCTTCTTCAAGAAGAAAAAACATTTATCAAAAATAGGAATAAAGAATGGTAACAACTACATTACTATCAGTAAGTACCTTAAATGGAAAAGAATTAAGTGCTCCAACCAAAAGATAGAGTGACTGAAAGGATAAGAAAACAAGACCCCCCTACATATGAAAAGGAATGGGATAGAAAAATATATTGCTCTGATGGACCTAGAAGGTATGTAAGTCAGATAGAGAAAGATAAACACTATCTGATTTCACTTATATGCAGAATCTAAGGAATAAAAAGAACAAACTAATCAAAAACAGACTCACAAATATAGTGGACAATTTGGTGTCGGATAGAGGGAAGGGGGGTTGGGAGCCTGGGAGAATGAGGTGAAGAAGTACAAATTAGTGGCTGATGGATGGTCATAGGGGTGGGGAGCATGGCATAGAGAATTAAGACATGGCAGTTAGCATTAATACATTGGCTAGGTAAAGGGTCAGGGGAAGGAGGGTGCAAGTGGGGGGATCATTTTACAAACTATATATATATCTAACAAATGTACTATATATTTGAAACTAAATAAAATTAAAAAATTAATTAAATCATCATCAACAACAACAACGATAACAATTACAACAACAACAACGAGTGATTTGCTGGATGTATTGTCTTTGGCTGGTGATTTCTCTCTTTCAATAGTTTAAATTTGATTCTGCTCCCTCCTAGCTTATAAAATCTGTTGGAAAATTTGATGACAGTGTAATGGGATTTTTTTGTTGTTGTTATCATCTTTTCCCCACTGACTTTCTTGAGAAATCTTTCTTTGTCTTTAGTTTTGGATAGTTTTAATATAATATGCTTTGGAGAAGGCCTTTTTAGATTGACATAATTAGGTGTTCTGTTAGCTTCTTGTATATGAGAATCCAGTTCTTTCCAAAAGTTTGGAAAGTTTTTATCAGTTATTCATTTGGATAGGCTCTTTCTTTCCTTCTCCCTTTCTTCTCCTTATGGAATATCCATTGTTCTTATATTGCTGTTTCTAATAAAGTCAGGTAGTTCTTGTAGAGTTCTCGTTTTTGTTGTTGTTGTTGTTGTTGTTGTTGTTGTTTACACTTTCAAGTTTCCCTCTTTTTTTCACCTGGGTCATTTCTAGATTTCTTTCTTTTCTGTTCTTTTCTTTTCTTTTTTAATGTTGCTAATTCTTTCCTCCATTTACTCTGCTCTTTTTAAAGCTTTCTAGTTTATCCTTCATCTCTTTTATTGAGTTCCTTAGCTGCAGAATTTGTTTGGTTCTTTTTAATAGTATCAGTCTCTTTGGTGAAGTACTCCTTTTGTTCATCAATTACATTTCCAAGTTCATTGAATTGTTTTTCTGGTTTTTCTTGTATCTCATTGAGTTTTTTCAAAACTGCAATCTTGAATTCTCTGTCATTTAAGTCATGTATTTCCATATCTTTGTTTATTTTCTGGAGATTTTAAATCTTCCTTCTGATTTCCATTGTTATCTTGGTTATTCATTGTGCTTGATGGGTTATTTCTCTGCCTGGATCTTTGTGGAAATAAAAGCTACTTTTTAAAAAAGTATTTTAGTTGATAAGTAGAGATATTTCTTTTATTTTCTAGTAGATAGCAGAGAAGCTCAAGTATTTTTTTGCCTTCATCTGCACTGCTGGAGCTTCCAGAATCTCTGTCACCTTGGCCATGAAAACAGTTCATATTCCTAGGAGTTGGGCATCCTCTCCATGACCTGGTTGCCTCAGTTTCAGGGTAGCACCATTGTGGATTGGAAGGTGTCTTCTATGTGTTCCTGGTGCCACAATCCTGTAGCCAGAATCTGCCCTAGGGCTGCTCTGAGTTGGCCCAGCAGCTTCTACTAGGCTGCAGCACAATAAAGAGGGTTAGGTGGGCTGGGGTGTTGCCAATTGGTGCATCAGTGGTTCTGCTTTTCTTCATGGGCTTAGCTGCAATGAGTACAGACCACGTAAGCTGGAAAGTTTTTTTCAACAGTTCTGCAATCTGTCCAGAGAGGATCTTGCCACCACAGGGAGGTGGGTGCATGATTCTCATCTGCAAAATTCTTCGTTCAATGCTGATGGACTTGGGAGTGCTGCAATTTTTTTTTGTACCATTTTTTGTTTTGTCTCTGACCCTCCCTGGGCCCAATCTCAATGTATGCCAGCCAGCCAGGTCTGATTTCTGTCACTACCTCTGTGATCTTCCCAGTGGGACTTCATCCTAGTCCTTTACAACGATTGCGTCCACTGTGGTTGCAGTAAGTGTAGGACTGTGTATGGCTTTTCTTTGTCCTCCTCCTTCCCTGTCTTGTCTCTACCATTCACTCAGGTATGCCCACCTTCAGATGTCTCTGTGCAAAGTGTCAGACATGTATGTGTTTTGGGCAGGGAACACTTTGATAAATTATAGCTATCTAACTTCTTGTAGCAAGGGAGAAACTTGGAGGTCCTCTCATGCTTGTCTCACTTTTATATATTTTTATTTGCAATTTGTTTTTTATAATTCACTATTAAATAATGAATCTTAGAATTGAGAATGTTACCAAAAGGTTTCATTGTTGGCCAAGTGATTAAAAATGAGGCCCATGGAGCCGAATCATGTGATGCCTCTTATTTAATTGCTAAAAGTTTTAGGACTGAAACATTAATTCACATGCCTAGTACGTGGCAAATGTTTAATTTATAAACAATGATTGTAAATGAGAAGCTGCTTACTCAAATTTTCAAAAATAGTTTCTAGAATTCCGGTAAGCGCTTTCAAATGTGCAGAGTACTCTACAAATGCGAGCATTGGAGTTCATACTTCTGGTGAAAGTATGGTGACATTTGTGATTTTAATAATTGTGATAGACTCATTATTTACAAAGTTACAGTTGGAATTCAGCCATCATGACTCAAGGTAATTGGCCTCAATTATATCACCACGGTGCCTCTCTGTGATAATCTGTCTTGACAGACTTTTGAGGGCTACCAACTCATTCTTTATGAATATTAACTAGAAGCGGTGGTGGTTTTTGCTGAATTCTTCTTCCTTTTGGTCAACTTAGGCTGCACACATTTTAAAGTAAGGTGACTGAAATTGGGCAAATCTTGCCATTAAAAAAGAACAATTTTCCCCTTCCTTATTCTCGCCTTCTTCCTCTCCATTAAATTAACAACTCAAACTGAGTCCTGAAGCTATTACAGCAACATGGTCTTACCTCAGCATACCCATTTTGAGGAGCGAGATCTATTTTTTCGTTCACTAGCATTATGAAGAACATTAATAGACAGGAAGGCAGAAATGAAGAGGAAGTAATCTATGACTTTGTCCTTGTGAAGACTTTAGTAGCATAGATCGGAATATCTTTTATTAAACTATGAGAACCCAGAATTTAGTGTGTCCATGACATCTGACCATTGTATAAAAACTAAGATATTTAGTTCATTGAATACCTCTTTTCTGTTTTTTTTTTTTTTTGGTCTACATAACATGGAACTAGTGGTTTGACAAAATTTTGACTTATATTTTATTTTAACTGACTTGTTTGACCAATTGCACTCATTGTCTCTGACTCAAAATTCACTAGAGATTTTTTTTTTCCTGTAGTTAGTAAACAACCTTCACTTGGAAATACAAATAGCCCACAGCTATGGCCAACAAGTCTGGTAGGAGCCCACTGCCTGCTCCTTGTTTCTCTTTCCACTGCTGCTTTCTTATAAAGCATTACTTTTCAAACTGGGATAAGTTCTCTTATCAGTTTTCTATTCTATAAAAATAAGGGACAAGTCCTTTGATCTTCCAGGGAACGTGGCAACATAAAGATCACGTTCTCATTACTGGTTCCTAACATAGGTTGGCTCAAATTCTGTAGGCCCCTAGTTTTACTTTTAGGAATATCTTCATGAATAAATTGGCCACAGAAAATTTTGTAGAATTGCACACATCTACTGAAACTTTGTGGTAGGACCACTCTAAAAAACCCAAAGTAACTTGATAAAGTCTCAATATGCAGTCTTATATAGACATTCTTATATCCATTTTTGAAGTATGAACTCCAAAGTGTACTACGAAAAAGTATGAACCAGAGATTGAAATTAGTGCATCCTCTAGCAGTGTCATACAATCTTAAAATAGAGTCAGGAAATATTTTAGATCTGGAAATGACCATGAAGGCTAAATTAAATTTCCTAATTGGCACAGAGAAGTTAAATGAGTTTTCTTATTTTCATACAGCTAGCAAGTGTCCATGACAGGGTTGCATTTAGATATTCAGTTTATCATATTAGTTCTGCCAAAGTAAGAGCCAAAGTAAGAGCCAAAGTCAAGGGAATACATTAGGGGATAAATATTGACCTCTTAGATAAGTATGGAGATTGGCTTGTAATCTCTTTTGTGACTACAGAGTTTCTGTAGATGTTGGAAGCTGCTTGTTTCTATCCCAAAATAAATCTTCTTATCATTACTTTTCTCAGACCAGCAAGCACCTCCTTATTCCTCAGACTGTAAATGAGAGGGTTGAGCATGGGGGTGAGGATAGTATTAATCACAGAGAGTATTTCATCCTGTTCTGCAGTGTGAGAGGAGCGGGGGGTCATGTAGATGATCATGGCTGGCATGTAGTAGAGGCTCACTACAGCCATATGTGAAGAACATGTAGCCAAGGCTTTCCTCCTGCCTTCTGGTGAATTCATGTGAAGGACTGTGAGGAAGATTAGCATATAGGAAGCCATGATGAGTCCTAATGGAAGAAGAACAAACACAATACAGATGACAGACACCACCATTTCATACAAGGAAGTGTCCTTGCAAGAGAGCTTCAGAATGGCAGGCAACTCACAGAAAAAGTGGTGAATCTCCCTGGAGCCACAGAAAGGGAAGTGCATGGTGTAGATGGTGTTGATGAGGGCATTTAGAGCACCTCCACCCCAACATACTAGGGCCATCTTTAGGCAGATGCTAGTGTTCATGATAATCGGGTATCTCAGGGGCTTGCAGATGGCCACATAGCGGTCATAAGACATGAGGGTCAAAAGGAGACACTCACCACCCCCAAGGGCAAAGAAGAAGAAAATTTGGGTCCCACAGGCAACTTTTGAGATGTTTTTCTTCCCAGAGAAGAAGTTTATGGCCATCTTTGGGACCGTAGTGGAAATTAACGCCAAGTCAATGAGAGAGAGATGGCTGAGCAGGAAGTACATGGGGGTGTGGAGGCATGTGTCCACATGGATCAGGAGGATGAGGATGGCGTTCCCTGTGAGGGCGATGAAGTAGACCAGGAGGAGGCAGATGATGAGGATGCTGATGTGTTGCAGCTCCGGGAAGAGCCCCAGGAGAAAGAAATTGGTCAATGTTTCATTCCCTCCATCCATGTTCTCCATACTAGAACTACAGGGTGGGAGAAAACAATAAGAAAAGGTATAATTCTAATGAAGTGCACTGGTTTTTTATTTTTCTTATAACTATCAAAAACACTTCCTTTGAACATCAGTATCAGTGTGAAAAAGATAAAGAAAACATATTTAAGAACTGGATCAGATTTTTTATTAGATAAGAAGCTCTTTTGGGGAAAATATCCTTAGGTATGAAAGGTGAGGTCCTGAAGTTGAAGGCTGGATGTTTAAAACCTTTGGCTGAAATATTAACATAGATTTGGAGATAGTGCAGAAGTGAACAGACCAGAGGAGGGAAGTAAAAAAGAATGACTGGATTCTTTGGAGAATATTGGCTGGTGAGAAATCCTCAGGGCAGGGTGGGCAAGAATAGGAATGCATATAATTGATGTTAATATTATGTGTGTACTTCTGGTATGTAAATGCCCTTAACTATTCTCAAACTTTGGACAGTACGCCACAAAAGGGGCTTTGTGTTGGCTGAAGCTGTGTAGTGAAGAGCAGGGCAGGGGCAGTACCTGGCGTGGGGTGTCGTGATACAGAAAAAAGATGGCAGGTGTGGATTGGCAACATGTACCATGCTATGAATGCAAGCAGTGGAAGCCACTATTTGGAGCTGTGGATGCTCAGCTCCCTCCTACACCATCACTCTCAAGGAGCCTGAAGAGGTTTGTGAAGATGTAAGGCTCTCCTCTGCATGTGGCATACATCTGAGTCGGTTTTATTCAAACTTGAAAGGGCCTGGTGACCTCAGCTGACCTGTGCTGAGAATGATACACATGAGAATGATACACGAGTTCACTTACATGAGGTCTGAAAAATTTTCTCTGTGACAAATACAAAGTGTTTGAGGCTTTGACCCATTTACACTGATATAATTTCAGAGATTTTTCTTCAAAGTGAATAACATTAAAAGGTAATTGAAGCACAGTACTTTTCAGATATTCTTATTTAAATTAATAAAGGAAAACTGAATGACTTCTCTAATTATAGTAACTGGAGATGAACTGGATCTGAGCAGTGTATCTGGAAGTGTAACTGACCACCTAGCCAAAGCTTAGCGCTCTCGTTTGCATCATGCTCCAGCAGTTCCTGCTATCTCCTCACTGGCCACGTCACTGTTTTCCAAGTGTTTAATGAGGATATATGAATTTACAAACTATTGAGATGAATACGTAAAAAATATAGTTCTTGAATTTGAATAAATTTTGACACCATTGAGGCTCATGGATGATCAGAACCATGTGGATCAGGGTCACCATGCTCTCATGGCTCTGACCGTGTTTATAGGGCCCTCCAGAGCCAACAGGAGATGAAGGGGAATGCATAAAACTTTACCCCCTTCCCAAACATAGAATGAGGACATAGGGGTGTGAGGGGCTGTTTCTCTGTGTCCTTTCTACCAAGTGTTTACGGGAGACCTCCTGACCCCATTGGTTGTCCTGGATACCTGCAGTCAGTCCCTTGCACAACGCTCCCTACCAGCAGAGCCTCAGCCTTGCTTTGCCCCCCTGCCTTTCTGGGCCTTCATAAGAGGGAGCTGATGATGTCAAATCTCCCATTTTTCAGAGCATATTAGGTGCTGATGTGGGAAGAGTCTTTGAGTCTTCTACAGAGAATGTCTTTTATAATAAAACCACATATTTTGATCTTAAATACTGACCAATGTTGAAATGGTGGGTAGGCAGCCCTAAATGACTGACATGGCCTCAGCACTGTACATCACCAAATCCACTCTCAGGGCCCTCACCGGAACTTGCTGTACTTGAAAATAGGAATTTGTGGTTATTTATTTTTATGTCTGCTCCTTGACCCCAGGGCATGAGAAACTTGACTGTCTCAGTTTTTTTATCTCCAGTGATGAGACATAGTGTCTGGCATGCAAGACTTCTGAATATTATAGAAAGAACATAAGAAGAGAGGAAGGAAAGAGGAAGGAAGGGATGAAGGAATCCATCAGACCAACCCTTCTTGGGAATCCCAGTGAAATTATCTAAGCATTTACCTATGTAAGTGATAATTACAGATTTTCCTTATTGGGTCTATTAAATGTAGAGGACCATCTATGAGGAAAATTACTCTTGATTTTCTTGGAACATCACCGTAGGTCAGTCTTTGATGAGATGGGATTGATGGATGCTGGAAGGCATGAGGAAGGCCTGCTATGTAATCGTCCCTGGAGGCTGGTTGTCGTGTGACTTGGATGGTTCAGGTTTGGTTCTGCCCAGTTTTCTTCTTGAATAAGGAGATGCCAGATTAAACTGTTTTCCATCAAAAATTAAAGAACAAAGAATAATTAATTTTTAAACTTTAAATTTCTGGACAAAAACGGAAGCCAATCTATAAAAAAGCATGGGTAATAAGCACTGAAATCGTGAGTGATAACACTTCTTAAGTCCTAACTAAGAGGAGGTCACTGTTTTAAGCACTTGGCACTTACTACTTACTTTCACAGTGTGCTAGGTATTATTTTGCAGAAGGGTAACTCCAGCACAGAGATTACCTCACTTGCTCAAGATCAAATGGGGAACAAGCACAGAACCTCAATATGGACCAGAGTCCACATGCCATCTCTTATCTGTGGAAAGCCGCCATAGCTACGTTGGTCCCTTCTTGTTTCTCTCTTCCCGGCTTCCCACCCACTTCAGCTTTCACTGCAGGTGGGGCTACTCACACCCACAATCCTACTCCCTCTGTCACCATGACTGAAAAGCAAATAAGAAATGAAGTGCCTGGATGTTAAAGAATGGAAGGTGGAGCATGTGGGAGAACATAGCCCATGGCCTTTGCTCCCTGTTGGCCCCAATCCCTGTCTCCCAGCCCAGGGTCTGCTGCAGGTGAGGCCTCTGGCCCTGACTCAGCCTTTCACTGCCTCCATCTGGGATCTATATCTCTCCTGCTCATATTAATGTCTGGGACTCCCTAATTGCAGGTTTCAGTGCCTGTGGAAATGGGACTCACATAAACTGCTGAAGCGGGTAGAATGAGCACACCTGGGAAAATGACCTGGATGTGAGCTTCACTTCATGCCGGCAAGGACCAAATTACTGGTCTCAACAAAACAACTGGTTTATAAACTTGCTCATGTCCAGTCATCAAATAATCACTAGAAAATGTGATTTCCCCTGTGGGAATCAGGGCTGTTCTTTGTAGTTAATCCCTCTAGATGATCGCAGAAGAAAAGACAGCTGTTGATATATGGATGCCACATTGCAGTGGGGCTGTGACCCTCCAGGAAATGAGAAGTAATTACAAGACCAGGCATCAGGCAGAGGAAACACCTGATGAAACTGTGCCTGCTGTTATGTAACTGTGCTGGAGACTCCTGAGCTTCTTGTCACTAGGGGATTCTGCCCCCAGACATTAATTATTTTTGTCCCTGAAAGATGCTTGAATTTATTCCAGATTCCAGAATACTTGTCTAATCAAGTGAAATGGACTTTTGAGAATATGAACACAAGAAATGGAAGTGCACAAATATCTGCTTGAGTCTCTACTTTCACTTCTTTTAGGAGAGTGACATTTATTTTTAAAAAGAATCATCATACCATTTTCTATGTGGCTATACTATTCTACATTCCCAAGAGCAATGCACAAGGATCCCAATTCACAATCTATCACTTATTTTCTGTATGTGTGTGTGTGTGTGTGTGTGTATGTGTGTGTGTGTGTGCGTGCATGTGAGTGTGCATGTGTTTATAAAAGCTATCCTAATTGGTATGAACTAACATCTCACTGTGGTTTAATCTGAATTTCCCTAAAGACTATTGATATGGAGCATCTTTCCTTGTCATTATTATGTATTTTTGTGTATTCTTTGAAGAAATGTATATTAAAGTATTTAAGTCCTTTGCCCATATTCTAATTTGGTCATTTGCTTATTTTTGTTGTTGTTGAGTTGTAGGAGTTCTTGCAAACATTTTCTCTCATACTGTGGGTTATATTTTCACTGTTTATTGTGTCCTTTGATGCACAGAAGCTGAAAAAATTTTTAGAATATTGGAGTCCAATTTAACTATTTTTTCTCTGTTGTCTTGTGCTTTTGGCGTCATATCAAGAAATCATTGCCAAATCCAATATCATAAAGCTTTCCCCCTATGTTTTTGGTCTTCAATCCATTTCGAGTTAGTTGATTTTTGTACGTGGTGTAAGGGTATAGCTTCATTTTCTTTGCATTTGAATATCCAGTTTTCCCAACACTATTTGTTAAAACGACTGTCTTTTCCCTACCGAATGGTCTTGGCACCTTGTCAAACACCAATCAACCACACCTGTGATGGGTAACTTCTGAGTTCTCCATTTGTTTGTATATAGCAGCATACTGCTCTGATGACAATGGACTTGTAGTGAGTTTTGAGTTCAGGAAGGGTAATACCTTCAACTTTGTTACTTTTTCAAGATGATTTTGGCTATTTGGAGTATCTTGAGATTCTATGTAAATTTTAGGATGGACTTCAATTTTTTTTTTTTTTTTGCTTCATAAACCACTCTTTATTTATTCTATTTTTTATTTCATATTAGCTTTAGGTATACAGCTCAATGGCTAGACATTTATATAATTTATGTGTGATGTCCCTCATTAATCCAGCACCACTCTGGCACCCCACATAGCCATTACAATAATATTGACTATATTCTCTATACTGTCATCAATATCCCCGTGACAGTTTTGTACTTCTTCATCTCTTTAGCTTTTTCATCCAGCCACTAACCCTCCTCCCTTCTGTCAATCCTCAGTTTGTTCTCTGTATCTATGAGTCTGCTTTCATGTAGTTTGTTCATTTCTTTTATTCCTTAGATTCCACATGTAAGTGAAATCATATAGTATTTATCTTTCTCTGTCTGACTTATGTCACTAAGCATAATAGCCTCTAGGTGCATCCATGTCATTGCAAATAGTAGGATTTTATTTTTTATGGCTAAGTAATATTACATTGTATATATGTAACACCTCTTCTTTATCCAATTGTCTACTAATA